GAAGAATCTGGTACAGGTTTTTTGGGAGAAAAAAGATGAATCTTTATTATAGTTATTTTGTATGCACTGACTGAATGACAAAATAAAAGCAGAGAAAAGAACTGTAATAAACAATAATTCATTTGTCTTCTCTTTATTATCCGTATATCAAAATGTGTAAGTCTTTTCCACAATAATCTAGTTCTTATAAATTACAAGTTGGAACACTTCAATGAGAGCAAATGATTGTATATTTTATATAGGAATGATTGAAAAAAACCATTATAACAATAAATTTTTGATCCTTATTCTAAAAATTAAGTTTATTTTGGCAACCATATTAACCTGATAATACTATATAGGCCTATTATATATATAATAAAATACATACATACATACACACTTTTTTAGTTTTTTTGACTCCACTCTGTGGGCACTGAGATGATTTTTTATCACGCCCATCATAGCAAGTCCAGCTAGAGGTTTTGCGGGGCTCGGAAAAAGTTATTAGCGGGGCCCCAAAATATTTGCAAATTCGGTAATGTGGACCCTCGTATTTGCCGGCGCCTTTTATCATTGTTGGTATTCGGTACCGGCAATGATAAAAAGGATAAAAGGGCAAAGAATCAATAAAAATGTACTTAAAATATTTTCCATATCAATACATCTCAGAAACATCAAAAATTCTGTTATGAAACTTTCTTAGAAATTGGAAAGTGCGCGGGGCCTTGATCTTAAGGCCCGTAAAACTGACGTCTGAGCTGGCCACGCTTTGTGAGTATGATCAGGCTCACAATAAGGCTGTTGGATTCAGGAACGAGACCAGACATATACAGGACGGACCACCTTGAAAAATTCATGTGGTTTTTTTTGACCCTCTAAATCTGTTTCCTGATCATAGACCAACAATTTAACCGGCAAGCAATACTGTACTCTTAAAGCACAATATGTAAATAGCATATGTAAATATTTACATATAAAAACAATTATTCAAATTTATGAGTGATTACATATTCATAAGCTAGATTTGTAGATTCTATAAAATTACGTCGCAGAATATATTTTTTTATTTTTAGTGGTCTCTGGAACGAATTAAAAAATTCCCATAAAAACCTACGATAAATCGATAACAAGCGTAGTAAAAGAATATATTTTTTTATTTTTTGTGGTCTCTGGAACGAATTAAAAAATTCCCATAAAAACCTACGATAAATCGATAACAAGCCTACAAAAAAATTTTTTTTGGTGCCTAGGATTTTAGAACTGATTTTAGCTATATTTCGGTCGCTGAATTCAAATATGAAATCAGTTTTTCTCTATCAGCTCTACATTTTTATATCTGTGTTTTTTAACGTACAGTGCTACATGAAATGTGCAGCTCTAATTCCAGTTTGTACAGTTCTAAATCCCATATGCAAGAATTGATTCCTGTATATTTTCCCCATTCTTAGTCTGCCGTCCAGTTAGGTCCAGGTAAATCCACCAAATGAAGTAAGCATTCGGTAAGGAATTGACGTTTAATGCTTCAACTAGAGTTGAGGTAAGTTTGTAAGTTCTAGCCGTGCAGTGTCTAGATCAGTGTTTCCCAACCTTTTTTGTGCTATGCCCCACCTAAGCCTTTCTAAAAGTCTTATGCCCTCTAACGTATACACTTAATTGCCACATTGTTTCGTCGTAACCACGATAAAACCTGATCCTTTCATCAAAGTCTCTTGTACTTTCCAGTCGTTGCCAAACGCAACCTGGAACACAACTCATGTCTCTCCACCTCAAGGTCTGGGCAAAGAATGTCCTTTCTCTTTCATCAGCATCAGGATTTCATTCNGTTTAGTTAAAAATTAGAGAAATGTTTTAAGACATTAAAAACATGCAGAACTTTAATAGAGTGGGGAGAATTTGGATAATTTTAAGTAAATTTCTAATTTTGTTCTTGAAATTCATTTTGGGAATTGTGGATCTGTAATTTCTATTTATCTTCCTCTCTTATTTTTTAATTTTAAATGTAACAATAATTTCTAGATAAATTTTAAAATAGCCATTCTTTTCGTTATATAATATGTTTTATTATGAAAGCTTTAAATATTTATAGATATTTTACATAAAATTAATTTTTAGTTAATATCTGTTTATTATAATTACAGTCTATTAATCTGAGTTTAAAAAATAAAATGATAAATGTGAAAAATTATATTTTCAGCTAAATAATGAAATAATATTTCTGTATAATCATTTTGTTTAATAATCATAATGTTCATGCAATCATTGAATGTTTAATGACAGTAATTATAATATTATACAACTGTCTTTGGTATTGAAAGTTGACATAAAAAGACAGCTCTTCTGTAATTTTAGTTGTAAAATTTGGTGATGTAATGTCTATTTTTTATGTACTGATAATTATTCTATTATTAAATGAATTAAAGATTTTTACATTGCAAGTTTCTATAAATATTTTTCATAATACAGCACTCTTATTTTTATATAAAGGTGTATATATTAAAAACTATACAGATTTAGAAAATATTTATCTTTAAACATAATTCAGTTTTAGTTAAACTAATAAAAATGAGGATATAATGAAACTTTCTCTGTTCAATTTCTTATAAAAACAAACTTTATATATAATAAACTATTCTATTAAATTACTGTACATTGTAATGTGAATTATGAGCATAATATATGTACCAATCTTGATTAAGATTTTAATCTCATTAATATGTTTCTTCTATGAGAACATCTTTCTAAAAATATTATGCAGTGAATAAGCTTAACATGTGGATCTAAATAATATTGGAAATGATGAACAAAATATAACAAAAAATTCATATGGAAATCTAATAAAATGGAACAATTTATTATATATAAAATCAGTTTATAAATTGTGTATCATTTTTTATTGGTTTAAATGGCAATTAAAAGTTATAAAAGCCTGGTAAATAGCAGTATTTCATATAATTTACAAGTTAATGAGAGAATATTTAAATTGCTTCGAAGCTTCTGATGTACTATTTATGAAGATTCTTATCGTTACTTAATATAATTTCACTTATATATAAGAAACTTACTCATTTTTCCTATGAAATAACGAATAGAAAAGAAAAACAAGATTTACATCGTTAAGTACTGTACCTTCAATAAAATCTTAAACCCCCAAATAAGCATTCGAAAGCCAAAAACCTATTAGCTAATATTTCAGTGATTTTATATTTAAATTAATGAAAATAGGTTAATAAGAATTCTTTATATTCTTTTAACAGAAAGCAATGAATTCATATCGCTAAATGTGTTATTTCGAATTCATATGAATTAATAAACTCAAAATTTATAATAATACGGCCAATGGCCGTTTCCAAATTTCAAAAGAAGCATACAGACATTGCACACGTGCTTTTTGGAAATTGCACATGTGTTGCCTATATATATACATAGTTCTATACAAAACTTTTTCAAATCTTTTGATCAAGTTGACATGTAGTATTCGGAATTTAGAAATATGAATTGTCTTCACGCCACACATCTTTTTTCATCAATGTTATAATGCGACAAACTTCTTTTATATTTTATACTGTTGCGGAGTGTTCTAATTCTCTTCTGAAAAAATTTGCAACGGAAGGATGTGTAGTGAATTTAGGCACAATTCCTAAACTTTCGAGAATATTTCGCCATTCTGTATTGAAATTGTATTCGTTAAGTGTGCATTTGTAATTAGGATGTGAATGTACTTAATTTCTTTCAAAAATTTAAACATAATTTCAAGTTTTAGAGGCTGTACACTGGAATTGTCAAAATTAACCAACCTTTCTCAAACTGAGAAACAATTTTACATTACGTCATTAGGTGATAGATACGAAGACGTACTGTACCTTAATTTATATTTAAAATTTTTTTGAATATTGGAATCTCAATTTACTCGTTAAATTATAAAAACAAGCCGTTTTTCGACTTCAGGATCAACTGATTAAAGTCGCGCTTTACCTTTAGCAGGAACTGTAATTAATATTTTTAAATAAAATACTTTCGCCATTCTTTACAATTAGTACCAATTTATGATTTTGGAACTACGAGTACATATACAATATCATATTTACATTAGACGGCTGGACGGCTGAACGATCAAAGTGGCAGCCTACCGCCTAGAGAACCCGGGATCGAATCCGAACGAGTCGAAAATTTACAGGAATTTTTGGGCCGAATATGTCGGGCCCGTCCCTTACCATCCGGCCGCCCGATTGTGGGCTTGGCTGAACCCATAATGGGCTTGATAAAAGAGGCCCCTCTTAGTGCCCACAGGGCAGAAAAAAAGTTTAAAAAAAATCACATTTCGGGAAAGGTCGTATCGACTTTGAGAGTGTTTTTCGTGCGATTATAAGTTTATCTGCTGAAAGTTTAGCCTTCATTCAGTCTGTATTTTTACTTGTACGGTAATATTAAATTCATCTCAACAATAGTGAACATTATGGAAATGCATCTCGATACAGTTAATTTTTCACGTATCAAATTAAAATTAGTAAATCGGCTTGCCAATTTTTTCATAACATAATTCAATTAATCATCATTTTCGTGTATCGACGAGTAGTGTTACATTGTTGCCAGTAGTGTTATCTAACAGCTGGCAACACTTTCAGAAGAACGAAGCGGTTAATTTGACAATAGATAACTTTTAGTTTTTAAATTATAAAATCACTCAACTATCAATTATGTTATTTAAGAAAAAGATTTAAGTAAGAATTATTCTGTAGTTTGTATGTTGAATTTCAATTATTTGTTTAATTTAGTCGCTGCGATATGCATCTCACCAACGAGCTGGCCACATATGAAGTTTTCTGGGTTCTTTTTACGTTAGAAACACTTTAATAGGGGTCAGTTTCCCGTGAAAGATATCCTGGGACGGTTAAATTTCAGATACGTATACCGTCATGGCGGCTCACCTCTGATTCCAGCAAACAAAAGAAAGGAAACAGTGGGGACGCACGTTCTAAAGTAACCTATTCTAATGAATTACCATAATTATTACCAACCAAATTATTAGAATAGGTTAGGTTAGGTTAGAACGTGCGTCCTCACTGTTTCCTTTTGTTTGCTGGAATCAGAGATGAGCCACCATGACGGTATACGTATCTGGAATTTAATTTACCCTTGGGAGGCAAATCACCCATGTGTCACGTTGCCATATAGGAATAAACCAATCCAATTTAATATGGTATGCCTTTTGAAATTCAGAGTTAACATGTGACAATTTACTTTGAGCTGTTATGAAACAAAAAGTTTCTCGATTCTGTCTTACAACAATCAGGGCCGTGGAGAATGATCACCGACTGCGGAGCTTCGATCTCTACTAGGTTCCTGTATGCCTTCTGAGTTTCCCTTCATGCTTGAGCTGAAAAACAACTATCAAAGACTGCTTTAATGATTGCTAACTGCCAACACGACTGTCTAAGTGTTTTTCAGTGGGGATATATTGTTCCAGAGTGCAAAAATAGCTTTTTCCAGGCAAAAATTAATTTTAGATTAAAAAAACAGGAATGTAATATTGTAGGGCAAAAGATAATGGATATATATATAGCAAATAACTAAATGAATACTTAATTTTAACTATGAATAATAATGATAAGTATAAAGTATGTTGTTATCTTAAACTTTGTTAGAGGATTATTTCTATAAAATGATTGAGAAATACTAGTCTGAAAAAATGTGGGGAAAACACTGAGAATTGAGGAGAACGTGCAGATAACTTGTAACTAGAATGTGTAAAGACTTTGTGGCCATTTCACAGATGAATGTAAGTTATAAAGTAAGGAATCAGTATTATTTGAATATGGAAATATTTATGTTTGCTTTAAAACTATTTCTGATTTATTTTTTAATTATATAAGACATGATGTATAAGCAGACTAATCATATATTTTTAATCAATCATTTTGTTTAAATGTTTAGTTAAAAATTAGAGAAATGTTTTAAGACATTAAAAACATGCAGAACTTTAATAGAGTGGGGAGAATTTGGATAATTTTAAGTAAATTTCTAATTTTGTTCTTGAAATTCATTTTGGGAATTGTGGATCTGTAATTTCTATTTATCTTCCTCTCTTATTTTTTAATTTTAAATGTAACAATAATTTCTAGATAAATTTTAAAATAGCCATTCTTTTCGTTATATAATATGTTTTATTATGAAAGCTTTAATGTTTCAAAATTGAAATATTTCTGAAAATATATATACTGTAATTGCTTTCAAGTAACATGGACAACATTTTTTTAAACCAAGGAATCAAATTAATTGCCATTACATAAATAAATTTTAAGTTTATAAGTTATAGGTATTGGTTTATATGTAAGAAATAATCTGTTATTTATTTTAATATATTTTTTGCTTGTATATAGTTAATTTTTATTAAATGATTTAATTTTTTAAAATTAGAATGGCAGCTGAAGTAATATTTGAAAATGTTAGATATTTTTTTGAAAAAATTTTACGGAATGCTACCTTTGATAATGATTGGGATAGAGAATCCATAAAGAATGCCATCCATTGGGCACAATACTGTGAAAAAGTAAGTCATTTTGAAATTAGTTTTCTAATGAATAATAATTTCATAAACCAAATTGAATATTCTCAAATTCTAAATAACATTTAGTGTCTTGATTTTTGCAATATTAATTTTTATATATAGTTTGACAGCGAGTATGTAAACAACTCTTTTTCTCAAGAAATTATCAGCTTGCTCTTCTGACAAGAGGTTTTGAACTTTTGATGGGTGTAGAGAATAAGGTTGGCAGTCTTTTATTCAAGTAGTCTTCCCATTTTATGAAGGCTGTGATTGATAAAGCTTAAAACAATTAAAAATAATAAAATTTTGCCAATGATTACTATGGAGATATAAAAATTTGTATGTAATAAGACAAAAGGAAATATTTATTTAAATTGTCTGGCCCCCTACCTGGTTCATTCATTTCAGTACAGTTTAATTCAGTTACAGTTACAGTTCATTCATTTTCTTATAAGTTATCAAATAAGCAAGGAGATCCTGATTTCTTTTTACACTCAGACCCAAATACCTTTTCATAATACTGATATTTATCATTATAAGTTTTATGTAGTAAAGTTTTTTTTTTTTTGGTCAAAACCATATTGGGAAATTCTGTCTACAGAGTCCCAGAATGGCACCTTGTGCTTGTATTTAAGTACAGTCCTGACTAATTTCCACAACATAGATAAGTCCAGATTATTTTGGACTACTAGATAGATTTAATTTTTCTGATTCTGTTCTAAATAGCCAAAAAACTAAATACTAAATAGCTAAATTACTAAATAGCCAAAGATAAATTACAGAAATAATTTCATATCATTTTGCTATATAGACATTAAATTAATAAATGGATTGTATATAAATGTAACAAAATAGATGCATATGTATATATATTATTTATGCAGTTAGTGTCTTTTGAAAAATTTTAAAATGTATCCTTTATAAATATCCTGTTTATTATTACTAATTAAAAATATGTAAAAATACTTTCATCCAATTCACTTTTATTTTGTCCTCTAAACTAATATAAAAAATTCAGAATGGTTTATTAGCATGTAATATTTCCTCAATAATATGTACAGTATTTTACATCAAATCAATAATTAATCTAATAATTTCTTTTTGTCATGTGTTAACTCTTCAATACAATATGTTTATTTGATTTCATATAATTAAATAATAATAAAAATATTCTGTATTAAAAATATATTGAAGTTACAAAATTTGTCTTCACAAATTTGTCATTTACAATCACTAGTGCAGGCATGGCCAACATACGGCCCGTCTAATGAATTTATGTAGCCCGCGATTAATCTCTCAATATTAGCTACTCAAGTCCGAATAGCTCGACAAAAAATTCTAACGCCTAAAAAAAAAAGTTCAACAACTCACTGTGCGTTTAGAGTTAACGCTCCATTACAAATATCTTAAGCACAGTGTAGAATGTTCATAATGCATGATAATGTGAAAAATGTATCTGTAATCTTTATGTACAATTTAGTCTCTACGGGGTAACACCACAATGAGATCTCTCACTACCTCAAAATCTTCCTAGGGCAGCCTCTGGTTCAGCCTGTGAAAAAAGTTTTCTTTCCAATTTGGCCTGAGGGCAAAAACTGTTCGCCACCCCTGCACTAGTGGCAAACCAAAACCAGCAAGCAATTATTTATTTTGTCATTGTCACAATGTTGGACTGCAATTTTAATCATATATTTAATTTAAAATTATGCTCTCCATCTCAAATTAGTACTGTAGTATCTTGCCCCTGTACATCATACTTTTCCATTAGCAATGGAATCATGCTGGTCATCTATCTAACTCCTTTCAGAGGAAAATTTTTGAATTAAATAACATGACCTGTTTGCATCAGAAGTTTGTGTATAGTTAATCAAAGCTTCCTTCCCCTAAGCTTTCTTTATATGGTCTTTAATTTTATTTATATAACACTGTTCTTGAGATTAACCTTTCAGCAGTGGGATAGTCAGGTATGGTGCTATCCCAAAGTAGTGGAGAATATAACTGGGAAATTTTTAAAGTATTTTTTCACGCATTTTTTCTCATTACCATTTCAGAAAAATATTTTGTGAACAGTCTAGTAAAGAAAAGTCTTTTTTTATTGTTACATATTTCATTTTTTATGTGAATTTTTTTCTCACGGTAGTTTTTGGCGATACCCCCAAAAGAATTTGATGTATATATACATCCCTCACCACTGCCACATACATGCCCTGGACGTATATATACGTCTCCCACTGCTGAGTGGTTAAGGAAAGACGGATGGATGGATGACAGTGGTAATTTATAGGTCTACAGTTTTTCCAAATTGCAGCCCAAAAACAATTTTTACTCACAGAGATGACCTGTTATTTGAGCTATGCTTCTGTAAAAAGATGCAAATCATTAAAATGTCCTCTAGCAATGATAAAAATTCTGCATTGTTATTTCTCATTCACTATAGAATATCAACATTTGATATTTATATCTGCCATGTCATTAAATAGATATATTTTTAGAAATTTATGTATGAATCCTGCACACTTAAAAATATGCAGGAACAAAGTTGGAAAAACTTTTTTCTGATTTATTTATGAGTTTTTCATATGAAAATATAGAGATAAAATAAAAACATTTAAATGTAATCAAATTTAGATCAATAACTAGACCAATTATACCACTCCAGCCTCCAGTTATCTGGCATTCCACAGTCTAGCCTCTCAATTATCTGGCATATTCACAGTGTGATTGCCTATGCACTATCATTTCCATGAAATTGTTATGTTACACATCGTGTTTACTCTGACATGCAATACAGATACAGTAATGCATGTCAGTATGCTGTATTATTTCCACCTGTCTCCAAAAAGAGTCAATGCTGAAGAGCAACAAGTCACATCATTCATTCATTGCCTTTAAGCATACTTTAGACCTGTACACACTCACTAATTCAACATTCTTGCTAATCTAGAATCTGTGCAAAGAATGGCCAGATTTGCAACTACAGCATACATACTATTGTTTCTTAAATATACTACCTTTACAACAATTAATATACTACAATTTTTACCTAAATTTTTATCTTTGTGGCAATCCAACTAACAAAATCACAAATCCACTTGAGATCCTTGTAAGTTTTTCATGAACACTTTGGATTAGGAAATTATTCCCCATTAATCATCTGCTTTGCAAATCACACACATCATAAAGAACAAGATTCAGCCACATATACAAACTGTATCATTGGATTATCTTATAAAATAAAAATAAAATAAAGGAATTTCATTGCTCCCTGGTCTGTTGCCAGGGATGTGATTTGGGATGCGGGGTTGCTGAACATCCCTGTCTGGGCCGTTTCCCTCTGGAGTCAGATCAAGCCCTTCCCTGGATGACAGACCCGTAAATTTTACCTAATGTGTATTTTTCTGTCCCGAGAAGACGCAGCTGTCCCAGCTGCTGCCCCCTCCACAGGAGTGTCAGCAGGTCCCACTTTGAACTCTAAGGTAAGGTGATTATCCAAAGTTACCCCGGCAGACGATCCCTCTCTCATTCTCACGATGTATGATCAGGGATCTGTCAATTAGGTCTGGAATGTGACAATTAAATCATCTCGCATCCTGTTCCTTGGTCACACCAGTCCTGTTTATGAAATAAGTCACCGATTTAATGGCTTCAACTCGACGTCAGTTTTCCATCTGGGGGGGTGAGATGTCCCAGCCTCACAAAAGCAGCCACTTCCTTGTCACAATAAAAGCAATTACTTCCTTGTTCTTAAAAATGGTGCACACTTTAGCATCTTAAACATGACTTCCAGATCTGCCACATGTATATTGCTTTCATGTTTTGTGAGAAGTTCCTTTTTCACCTCATTTGTTGATACTACAGTTTTCTCTTAAGCTTTGTTGCACTGTACTCTTCTTGGATATCATAGTTAATAGGTAGTGATTATATATAACTGAACACACCAAAAATAAAGTGAATAAAAGCACTGAAGTATATTTTCACTGTGTGTCCAGTTCAAATATACAAACATTGTTTAAACTCCAAGTCAAATTTTTCTCAGATTTAGCATTTAAATTCTGGAATGTTTAAAGTAAAAGTTGTCCAAAGTATGCAGTACCTCTGCAATGGTCCACTTTTTGCTAAATTTGATTGGTTGCTTGATTACATTTGGTATTTGACTGTGAATTGTACATTAACATTACATTAGAATTAACTAGAATGAGTTAACATTAGAAAAATTTAGATATTTTGAATTATCTTTTCATGCAGAAGTTAATGACCATTTTTTTGTTTAAGAACATCAATTTTTGATCAATGAAAATTCTGCCATTTTGTACCATCAGATCTCATATTCTTAGCAAGCACAAAACATTCATACTGAGGATTTTCAGGCACTGATTGTGAATCTTTGTTCCATTTACCATGAAATGTGATTGTTCATTTATTTTTATCTTTGTTAAATGAATTTGACAAATAAGATCAGTGTGTTTTTCTCTTTCTTCTTTAATTAAAGTAGATTTTGTCATTTTTATTCTATTTTGTTACATTTTCTTTCTTCTTATTATATGCTATTTAAAATTTCATGATAAATGTGGTAATGGTATGCTAAAATAACTAAATTATTAAAATGGTTTTAGTTTTAATGCTTGTTGTTGTTACTTTTTACCTGAGTTCCAGGCATATCTGCTAGTACATTATAAATATTGATTAATATTGAGTTATAAAATCAATAATCATTCCATTGTTGGTATTTTAAAATATTGAATATTTAATAATAAGAAAGAAAATTGAACAGTTCAACAAGAGAGAAAGATGGATGGGAACAGTTTAACAAGATAAATATATAACATTAATAGAGATGTTTATATATATTTACTAACAAAGATTTTCATGTATAATTCTTAATATATATTTCATCTTCTTGATAATCATTCTCAAATAAATTTCTTTAATATTTTAGCTGTATCACCAAACACAAGCAAAATCATTTAGTAAAAAACTAAATAATTTTATGGAGAAACTCAACTCAAAAGCAATTCTTTTGGCTTTAAATTTTGAAAGTCTGAGAGATGCAACTCGTATTCTCTACATGGTAAGTAAAAGCATATTGTATTTTTGAATAGGGAATCAAAAATTGAATTGATTAATGACATACTTTTTTCAGGCATTATTGCAGAATCCTTTTTTAAGTAGAGAATTAGTAAATTTCTTATTACAAGAGAATCAAATGGATGAAAGTTTCATAAAAGTAAGTAATAAACTTATTTAGTAATTATAATAATATTTTGAATATCTACTTTTTTTATTTAATGAGAGTTAAGAATTTTATGAAAACTTCTGCATACATTATAGTGATTTGATACATTTAAAATACAAGATGGAAAAACCACTATATATAATAATTGATTGTAATATAAAATATTACAATCAATTATTTTTACATGACTATCATTTAGAAGCAAGAAGAGGACATTAGAGAGCCCCCATTTGACTCTCTAATGTCCTTATCTTTAATCATTGAATTGAAACAGATATAAATATCAGTAAAATAATTGTCTGGCCTTACAGTTTCTAAATTTGGGAATGTTAAATTGAAGGTGTGTCTCAAAAATCTGCTGCTTGCTTTGAAGTATTGTTAAAAATACAAAATATATTTACAACACAGTGCTTTATATATTTATTGGATTGCATATTGGCTATGATAAAGAAAATTCACCATCTAATTCTTTATCTGTAATTAATTTTTCAGTAATTGTGTATGCCAGAGTGACATCATTCAGCAATCCAATGCGAACTAAAAGTTGTGCACCACATAGTAGTTTAATATTATGAATTTAGACTTATCATTTTTCTATTGTATATGCCAAATAATTAGATAATTTTTATATCATTTTGTTTGTAAAGGATGATTAATAAATTATAAAAATATTTCATATTATACAAATTCAAAATTTATATTTCAAATTTATATAATATAAAATTGAATATTCCACTGAATGTCTTTTATGAAAAATATATCAACATACCTAAACTAATAAAGCAGAAATAGTAATAACCTATTTTATTGTTTTTCAAACAACATTATGTGCATCTTTTTAAATATTTTTTTTTATTAACTTACCATGTCTGTTTGTCTCTGTCCTGATAAAGTAACTCTATTTTCACCCAATTTCTGATCTAGTTGAATCTTTGCATACATATGTATTTCCAATGACAAATATCTTTTTCTTGTTTGCAAACAATTTTAGCAATTAGCAAAAAATTAAAATTTGTAAAAACTGATAACAGATGATGCTATACAAACTATTGCCCCTTTTTAATTGTACTGTTTACATAAAATCTTGTAACTTGATTTATCACTCACTTCTTAATTAAATGCTAAAACAAGAAGAATTTCAATAATTCAGTTTTACATGTGTAAAACTAAAAAAATGGAAAATAAAAATTATAAAAAAAAACTTATAAAGAGATGCTTTTTATTCACATAAATGCACTAAAACATAAAAAATAAATTTTAAACTTTCACAGCATTCTTGGTATTATTCCATCAAATTTAAAAAAGCTCAAATTCAACATTAAAAAATATCTTTTCTTATGTTGAATTTGAGCTTTTTTAAATTTAATATTCAATCTGGTAAATTTTCAGATCAGTCTAGAATTGATACAAATCAACACTGATGCTTCAACACTTGAATATTTAATTTGAAATTTATTATCTAAATATCAAAGATGCCTTTGTAATAAATAATCTTATGAGAAATATCAATATTATTATCAAATGTAACTTATATTGTTTGAATATTTTTTCCTAGATTATAAATTGTTTGGACCATTGTCAGATTTAATATAGATTCTATAATTTCTTGGAAAAATGTATAAACTAATGTCAGTGTGAAGAGAAATATTTATTCTTGTTTATATTACAGAAACCTTTACTCTCACAAGGTGAAAGTGAATGTTTTGAAGCACAATATTTTAAATTGTATTTTTGGAATGCGAATTTCATTGAAATTATCAAGATTAAAGGAGATATAAATAAAACTTTAATATTAGAGATGCCTTCTTTTCAAACATAATCTAATTTGTATTTCTGTTTGTGTAACTGATTTCATTTTTTCATATGTCATTCTATGGAAACTGTTTATCTGTAGATATTTTATTTAAACAAATTTCACAGTTAAAATTTTCTTATTGACAGCCATAAGCTAAAAAAATGTGCTAGGACATTCATTTGCATATTGTAGTAGGATTTTTAATTTTAATAATTTGCTCACTTAATAAATTATGTCACAGAAAGTGTTTTTTACATTTGTTGAGATTTGCATTTGTACTTATTTAATCTAAATTTTTTTTAGTTAAATTTTTCTTGTGATAATGTAGTTCTTGCACATTGAAGAATAGTTTCTTTGAAAATCATAGATACAAAAATGTAATATTTAGTTTAACACATTCATGATAATATATGTTAATTGACTTAAGATAGAAAGGAAATTTAAATTTTGGATATACTTTTGCAAAATAATAAGTTTTGTTTATTTTCATTTTAGGATTTGTGTCACTTGGTACAGTTAAAATCTGAATTTTTAGCACTGGAAGAATGGGTGAAACTGAAAGCAAATTTGAATGGTTCAATAGTTGCTGAATTACGTCTTGAATGTCTACGCAATAAATTTTTGGCAACTGAAGATAAATTTGAGTAAGAATATTATAAAACAATTTTTTATAAAACAATAATGATGATATAAGAATATTTATTACAGAAAAGAAAAATTAACACACAGTTTTTTCAATTTTTTGATGACCTCTGAAAATGAATTGGTAAGTTTACATACCATCGTCTCTTGTTCCATTTAAATGGGATCAAGTTTTATTATTATAACTTTCAGTTAGAATAATACTAACGACTAGCTCTTAACATTTCTTTAGCCTATCTCTGTCTGTCTCATTTCTCCTCAAAATATTATCTAACCATCTACAATTTCTAAATCATTCAATTTATCACCTACAGCTACATCATCTCTAAACTGTTCTCCATTTTCAATATTATCGACTCATGTCAGTGCTGTCTTTTTATTCTACAAGATTCTGATCTAGAGTATATTACAGTTAACCTAACTATTATTTTATAAAATTTCTCTTAAAAGCTAGTTAGTACTCTTTTTTTCAAAAATATAGATAGCCAATGAGTTTCTATCATTGGTATATTTACACTCATTGATTTTCTATCAATGAGTGTAAATACAAGCCTAAATATTTAGAAAATTCTTTTATTTTAAATAAATCTTAAAGCCTAATCTTCTATTTTCAACCCAAATCTATTGCGATATTCAGAAAGTAAGTTCATTTTTTTTCCGTGGAAAAGAGCACAATATTTTTATAATAAATATTTTATTGAATTATATATAAACCATTTTGGTCAAATACTTGTCATCGTTTTGGTAGTAGCATTATTTCACATTCATAAAAGTTTTGATCATTGCTTACAAAAAACTGATCCAAGTGATTTTTGACATTGCCATTTCAAGTAAATGTCTTACAGTTAAAAAAAATTTGTATAGACCGGAACAAGTAATAATCTGAGTGTGCTCGATCTGGTGAATATGGTCGGTGTGATAGCAGGTCCCATCTAAGTTATAACAGTTTCTGACGAGTTACCAAACTTGTGTGAAATTTGACATTATCGTGGTAAAACACTACACCTGTTTTGTTGATCAATTCTGGCCGCCTTTTCCGTTTGATGATATTACTCAATTTGTTTACTCAATGGCAGTACACTTTCGAATCAATTGTTGAATTGTCTGGTAATAGCTCCAAAAAAAAATTTCCTTAAAATCCCACCAAAGAGAGCATCTCTCTTTAAGAACATGTGGAACTCGTATATCAAGCTTGAAACGAAACCAATTTGTTTCAAGTAATTGTAAACAGTTCAATTTGACAAATTTAATCTCTTAGTGATTTCACGTGTTGTTATTCAGCAGTTTGCTTCAATCAGTACCTTTATTTTGTTTTCATTGGTTTCAACTGGCCATCCAGAATGTGGTGCATCTTCAATATTGAAATTGCCAGAATGAAATTTTGTAAACCAGTTTTTGCACTGTCGTTCTGTCAACATATCAACTCCACACATGTACCACAATTTTTTCCTTGCTTGAACAGCATTTTGATTTTTTGATAATAAAAAAGCAAAATATGTCGAAAATGATGCTTTTGATCTTCCATGTTTGATGGGACACAAAAAATAAACAACTGCACAAAATCAAACAAAATTTTTTACAAATAAGCCTTAAAATGCTAGCTGTCAAAATATATAATGATAATACGGTTTAAAATGAATATGGCGAAAAAAATATGATAATCCGTCTAGTGGTAAAAAAAACGAACTTACTTTCCGAACAACCTAATAAATTCAACTTCTGTATTACACAATTAGCGTAATTAATTAAAAATTTCTAGCTAACATCTTGCCATGTTATAAGAATATTTATAGAGATATTAGAAGAAAAAATAAGGCTTAAAAGCCTTTTTTTCCTTCTAACATCTCTATTTAAAAAAAAAATAATAGTATTAAAGTGTTTTCACAGTTATCATAGATAAATCTTTTCTTGCCTGTCTAATAATAATGGTCCATAGTTGATCTTTCTGACCAAACTATTCCTATTTTCTTTCAGAATTTTATACCTCTGTATTGCAGAAAGTATATTTATTTTCTATAAATCAATTTTCTTTACAGTTACATCTGGTAGAGATGTGGATGATGCCACCTTCCAATTGTGAAATGGAAGAAATCCAGAAACTATTTTTTAAAATCTTATTAAAAAAGATAAGTCCAAAAGAGCCTACATATGATGCCAATGCAACTGTAAAAGTTTGGAACTTAAGTCCAGCAATTCTCTCTAGATTTGCCTCCTCTTGTATTCCATTTCTTGAAATATATTGTGATCATCTTGTTTTCTGTGCACAAAAATTAGAATTACAATATATTAAAAATGACTTTCAATGGCTATCCAGGTAAAATTTCATACTTTACAGATTATTAAAAGATTATTTTAAAACATCATTTAACGGAACTTTAAAATTTTAGAGAGGGAGGAAGAGAATGTCTTAACTACAGTGACATTGTCACCCATTTTAAAACTCTGTGGAATAGCCAAGGTGAAGTGCATGAATATGTTTCAAGATTATTATTACAGCTTTCTGCCGGATCAATCTGTTCCATTTGGGAAGATGTAACAAATGAAATAAAGCAATTTGTGAAACTTTAATTATTGTTATTTTTAAAAATTTTTTAATAAAAAATATTGAAAGACAATGCGATTACTAAGAGGTAACTCGCTCCAAATCATCGGTAAACAGAATTTTTATATTATACCAAAAAATATCCCTAAAATCGAAGATTTTATATCCTGAGATTGCTGTTTTGCTTTGCGATTTTAAATCCATTTTATTTCAGAATCATAAATTTCTTCGAAAATATTCACAAATTTCATATATAGTAAAAACACTCAAAAATAAATTTAAAAATATAAGTTATGTCTTCCCTAACCCGTAATCAAGTGATTTAAAATTGCCGGAAGAGGTTGACAATTCCAGTTTTTTCTCTGTGCTTAGCCTCAGAAACTTGAAATTGTTTACATTTTTGAAAGAAATTAAGTAATGTACATTCATATCCTGTTTAAAATGCACACTTAACGAATACAATTTCAATACAAAATGGCGAAATACTTCGAAATTATAGGAATTGTGCCTAAATTCACTACACCCGTTGCAAATTTTTCCAAAATTCGAACACCGCAACAATAATTAACTATTGGTGAATTTACAAGAACTATTTTAAAAAATATCTTAAATTAAAAATTGACTCTTAAATATGAATTACATTCACCGCTTTAACGGCGAAAGACGGTGTTATCCAGCTTGTTCTATAATCGACTGTAATGATGCCAACTCGAATTTCCCTCTAAATTTAGAGGGAATTTGCGGGAGAAATAATTTGGCGGAAAATGTAAAGTCTATATAGGTTAGTGGAATTTTCAAAAGTCAGATAAATCATACGCGAGAATATGGCGGCGAGATCCGGAGCACGTTGCTTCATCACATGTTGCATTTGCTCGACTGTGCCCAGGCTGCTTGCTCCCTAAAGTAAAAATTTGTGTTTCTTTTTAAAAAGTATTGTACCTGGAGCAAAACTATTTAGCGGAACTCTATTGGTTTTAGGGTAATTTCGGGTCTGTTTAGGGGGTTTCTACTAGTGATGTTACGAATAGTGATTTTGCCGAATACCGAATATTCGACTACGCTCTCGGCCGAAGCACCGAATGTTCGGCAAAATATGTGTACGTTTTGCTGGTGACAGGTTACGACCTGTCTCATTGCGGTGGGTGCGGTAGCGACACCGCGAGCGCATTTGTTTTATTTGAGAATAGATCGTGTGACGACATGCATTATTTGTTCATTGTTACATCAAATTGTGTTACTAATAGTCCTTATTATTAAAGAATATCACTGTTTGTATCACTTTATATGAAAATTGTTCGCCTAGATCGGACGGCAGACCTATACAAGCGGTGGTCAGCAAACGCAAAACAGTATCCAAGCCTGACAGAATTCGCTAAGATTTATCTATCGTCTCCCGGCAGTAGTGTATATAGTGAGAAGCTATTTTCAGAAGCAGGTATAGTTTATGAGGGAAAGAGCAATCGTTTGCTATCAACAAATGCTGAAAAAATTTTCATTCATCACAACTTACTACTGATAGATTTTAAGTATTAAATGTAATAATTTGTGATTAAAATAAATACGTTTTTTGAGTAATATATGCGTTTTTTTTCATGATTTGGTATTCGGTATTCAGCCGAATAATATGCAACATTCGGCCGAATACCGAATATTAAAAAAATAGCCGAATAGGCCGAATACCGAATAGTAGCCGAATATTCGTGGTATCTCTAGTTTTTACGACAGAATGTTGACAACTTTTTTCAGGGATTTAAAAGGTAAGTTTAGAGTGCGGAATAAGAAGTAGAGTTTTTCAATATTGGCTCTCTTCGCCCTGTGGGTACATTTTTTTAGACAGAATGGGAGCTGTTTAGATGGCGAAGGCGATATGATGTTAGCCTACAGCCATGGAGACAGTGGTATATCCACGATCTGAACTAGATGGGGGGCAATTCATATTAGTTTCGAGGAATTGGGGAGAAGAGTGAGATTTCACGACAGATGGCTCTAGTCTAATACTAAATTGATACATCTGTGCTGTGTGTCTGTGTGTCTGTGTGTCAATTACTACACTAAATTTTCTTCTAGGGAAGATCAGCTCTCCTCCCTGCCCCTCGCTAGGTACGCTCTTGCACGAAGACCTCAAAACCTGTACCTCTGGCGGGTGGAAAATTCTCAGGAATTTTTCGGAGGTAGTCTATTCCGGATATGTCGAGCCATTTCTTATCACCCGCCCACCTCATTGTGGGTATGTGGGCCAGGCCCCGACATATCCAAAACAGATCGTCTATAAAAATACATGGGATTGTCTGCCCTGGCACTCCAGAACGGCATGCCGATGTCTTACCGTTTCAAAGGATTGAAACTAAAGGAAAGAAATTATTTAATGAAAGGAAAGAAATTATTTAAAAATAAAGAGAATTTATAATTTTTTTTATCTTATCAAAATAGAAAATTTTAAATATTAATTTTTTTTATGCTCGACCAATTCCATACACCAGGTGGAGTTTTGTTTCGAAAGCATGTGCGAGTTACAGAATGAAATTGATATAATATTTCATACATTGTGAATTTTATATTTTTTTTTTAGTAAAAATGGAAGTAACAACGCGGTTATGTTTTCGCCAACTAAAGCATTTTAAACTGTTAAAACTTCAGCAGTTTACGTACAGACCAATATTTCCTTTAGCAATGCCAATTTATTTCCAGGTAAGAGCAAAGTGTCAGTTGAGCTAAACTTTTACTTGATTTTCAAAAGTGATAGTTTGCATTCGCAACGTATTAATTTAATCAAGTTTTAATTTTTAGTATTTCATAAACATTATTCTCAACTTCAAAAGATTTTTTAGAATATAATTATTCACTTTTCTTCTCTCTGGGTATTTTTCAATCATTTTTCCAATTAAAGTTTTACAAAAATTCAGATCTTTGTTTTTTAAGAAAATGAAAAATTAAAATAATTTATTAAATTTTTATCTGAGTCTATTAAAATACAAATACATTTGGTATTACTAATTTTTGAAATTATTTTCACTTTCTATATGCACTCAAACCTACCACCCGTCCGGTTTTCACCCAGAGAATCCGGGAATTGACTTGCTGTTCGGGTGAACTATTAATTTTGTCCGGGAATTTTGTAGAAATTGTGAAATTACGATGAAACAAAGTTATTGCAAATATTTTTACAAATTTACACTATTTTAACAGCAAAAGAACTCTCTCACTGAAATTCGTCTGCAATTCTGCCATGTTAGTCTGTTTATGCCAACACGTGGTGTGCAACCTGTTGACTTTTTTTTTTTGCATGTATAACCATACACGTCTCCAATATCCAATAGAGCTAAGTTATCTATACTTGTTCTTTCTTAATTTAGGGTTACTTACGTTACTCCTACGCAAGTCCCTAGTCCCTAACGGTAACTGATTTACAACCGGCATGCATGTTATTCTTCGCATTGTAAAATGACATTGCACATGCATCAGGAACTTCTGTTCGAACAGACCTGACCTGCTGTCCGGGTCAGCGATTTTGAAAAGGTGGCAACACTAATTCAAACCCACACATTTAAATTTTACTAAGCTACAGATTACTGTAAACTGGTGTTTTTTGACCTTTTTGTCATTGTGGATTGGTAAAATTATTGATAATTTTATGTGGATCGAGTAATTATGTGTGACTGTGATTTATGCTTTGTTACAGTATATAACAAAGTACATAAAGTAATTCTAGATTGCCATTTAAATGTCATTTGTAATCAACCGAGCTGGCTTTGGTACAGTTGGATGTTTTTCTGCAGACCGGTGCCGGTCCATGGACCGACGGTTGAAAAACGCTGCCATAAACGACTTATTTGAAATTGTAATTTTGTAAATTATTGCATTGCATTTCTTGTTGTCTATGTTTTTTGAAATATGAAAGTGTTTGAATTTGCTTATAAAGTTTGTTCAAAGCTGAGAATGGTTTAAGTTAGTATGAAAATATTTTGGTTCTTAAATACAATGTTTGTAACTATAAAATAACAGTATTTTTTAAAATAATTTTTTATATATATTTTTGTTTTTAGTTCTTTTATTTAATATATAAAAATCGCTTTTATTGTATTTCATATTCAGTTTTTATCTATTCTATCATGATTTCATATTCGTCTTAGTCAATATGTAATATTATCCAAAAAAGATATTAGCTAAATCAGTTGACTAAAAATTGGAATCAGCTGAGGCATGATTCATTCAAGAAAATCCTATACATAAGATTATTATTATTAATACTTATTATAAATTTAGAATTAGTATAAAAATTTATTTTAGTAATACCAAATGATTTGAAAGATTTTTTTTGGTCTATATTTAGACTAATTAATAATCCAAAACAAACAGTTTGGCTAGAGGTAGGAAGTTAAGCCGCTATCTCATGTTAAATTAAATAATTATAAATAAATTTTTAATTTTAATTTAGAGAACTCTGGAAAAAAACAATCAGCCTGGAATAGGACTTGAATTTGCAACTCCTGCTTATTGTGCACTTGTTTTGCCTGTTATACTAATTAATGAATACAAAGAAGGGTTATGGAAGTGAAGATCAGTCAGAGGTCCAGGTAAATCAGAAATATAATTGCACAGTAAGTAGGAGTTGCAGATTCAAGTCCCACTCCAGGCTGATTCTTTTCTTCCAGAGCATTCTAAATTAAAGTTAAAAATTAATTTACATATAATTATTAAATTTATCATGATATGATGACTTAACTGCTTACTTCTAATCAAATTATTTGTTTTGGATTATTAATTAGCCTTAATACAGCCTAATAAAAATCTGGCAGATTGTTTGGTATTTATTATGTATTGGGCTATTGTATGTTTTTATATGGAAAATTTTTTCTTTTGATAGAAACCGAAACCAAGTATTCTGGGACCAATTAGATATGTATCAATGGAAATTCCAAAGAAGCAAATAGGAAGAGGAACGAAAAAAAATGCAGATAACGAACGAAAAGGAGTAATGTATAACTTTATAGCTAAACAAACTGATTTTTGTAAAATAAAAATAAATTATTTTAATTATATGTATGACATTTAACTTACTTTCTCTTCAGAATATGACAATTTTATAAGTTAATGATGTAATTAGAAAGTTAGGATTGGAACAGATGGATACATTCTGTACCAAAATAACTCTATCTAGAATGTGACAATACATGGGTTGAAATGAAAGTGAACATACGGCTTCTGCATGGCACTGAATCAATTTTCAAGTGAAACACATGAACTGGCCTAGTGCTGTGACTTTCAGGCAATAAATTATCCATTTGTGTGTACTGGTGCAGAATTCTATGCTTAATTTTATACATAAAAGTATCCATCTGTGTGTGTCCGGTTCTTATAATGTTTTTAAATATTCATCTTAACATCCCAATTTTAATCACTTTTGATTCACTTAAACATAATCACAGAAATGTATAAAAAGAAGTAATGAGTTAAATAAAGTTTATCCATTAAAGAAATGCTTGCATAAATAAAATGTCAAAAAAATATAAACAAAATTCAAGAAATTAAAAACTTAAATATCCAAACCAAATAATCTATATATATAAAAATGAATGTATGTGTGTGTGTGTGTCTGTCTGTCCTTCATGCATTACCACACCGTTTATCCGATTGCCGTGAAACTTTGGGAAGTTGTTTAATATACTCCCGCGAAGGTTTGTGGCATAGTACGATTGCCACAAAACTTTGGGAAGTTTTTTAATACACTCCGGCATAGTACATTTAACTTACGATAGATGGCGCGCGTTAATACGAGCATTTCACTGTGTTTTCGATCGATTTCAAATTGTGAAGACCATTTCCCCCCCTCCAAAAAATATCTCTATATATGCATTTGTGAAATGATATTTACGATATTTGTAATAATTTTTGTTTAATCACTTTATTTCAAGCTTTTTTTTATAATTACGTATTCGCTGAAACTTTGTTAAAATTTTAACTGTACCCCAAACAACAACCGAAGTTGTAGGAAGAAATTCGCGTATTTTACCGATCTAGGTATCCCCCCTTTTCCAAATTTTAATATCAACTCAAAATAATTTAAAAAGACAAATTACAATAAAACGGTTTATTATCTAACTATCAGAAATTTCACAACGTGCCAAGGAAGAGAAGAAGGAGCAATTAAAAACTTAAAATTATAAAGGATTAAAAAATATATATATATATAAATGGGGAATATTGCACTTTTGACAATCACTGCGAGTTTATAGGCTGCATTTGGAGAATCCGTGCTTATCGCGTGGGCAACTGTATGTGGCCGGCTCACGCATCGGAAACGTTCTGATTTATTCGTGTACACACCAGACAGAAAAACAAAAAAATATCGTGTATCCACAAACACTCCAATAAATAAATAGAATTGAAACGACACTGAAATGTTTTCCCGATGAAAATGAATAATAATAAGTTTAAATAAAAATGATAAAATGTAAATTGAATTTTATCATAACAAGTTTGCTTAAATTTCCTTTCTTCTGAGATCGCAGCAATGCACGACGGGTAAGCTAGTCAGTTCATAAAATAAAAGTTTTGTACTCTAAATTTGTCTCTTAGCAAATTGCTTTTTTTAAAGAAAAGCAATTTGCTCAAAGAAATATGAAAAATAATAGACTGATATAGTCCTTTTTAGTGTATATTTAAATATATGTGTATATAAATATAAACAATATTACTATTTATTTAAACTACAATATTTAACTTATATCTGAAAATATAGTTGGAAACAGTGACTATATGACAGTCATAGTTATTTTACAGTATACTCTTGATAGCTAAAAGTGTTGATCAACAAGAAATGATATCATAGATCAAATATATTTTTTATTAAGATTTTGAAAAATTTAGTAAAGGGAACGTATTAATGTAACTGATAAAAATACATCAGAAATAAATATTGTATTCATATTTTGACAATTTGGTTATTATAACTCAATTGAATAAGATTCTAGATTGATGAACTGTAGAGTTATGAAAAATTATGAAATGTGAACATAAGGTTAAAACATTAAAGTTAAAGTTAAAACATTTAAAAAATCAAATGATTTGATTTTTTAAATGTTTTAACTTTAATTTCCCAAAATTATTTTTAGTTTTTTAGATTTTATTACTTTTTGATTTATTTTTTATATTATTTTGTTTTGCTTTTGGGCTATTTGAAAATGCTTTTAAATATTTGATATTTTTAAATATTATATAATATATAAATTTTTGTTGTATGTTTTTTTAGCCCATTACATGGAAAACTCTTGCCATTACACTTGGTATTGGAAGTGTTTTATTAATTGGAATGTTATATGTTAAGAAAGAAAAAGAAATAGGTAAGAATGTATATTATGTTTTAAATATTTTGAACAAGGATTACATTTCTTTTCTTTAAATGATGTAATTATTAAATTATTTTAATAAGTAAATATAAAATAAAAATTTTTAAGTGCTTAAAACTAAATAACCATATAAAATGATCTTAATAAATAACATTTAATTAGAAAATATTAAAAAAATTGATTGATTGATTGGGGACAGTCATAAATTATGTTTGTTTAATATAATAGAAATGAAAAAATTCAGAATATAATGACAAAAATTAAGTAAACATGACTATTTATATCTTTTAAATTAAAATTAGTTTTTCTAGTAAAATTATTTTTGATTATCTTTCCAATGCAAAAATAAAAGCAGTTTTATTCAAAATTGTATCATAACTGAATAATAGATTCTAGAATATAGCACATTAAGAAAATTTTAGATCTCACTTTTCTCTGCTTTACTGTTAACAAGGAGTCTCCTGTGTGAGAGTGCTGCAACACAATTAAGTTCAAGTCCTTTCAAGGCACATTTCACACTCAAGATGATTATTAAAACTTACTTTTATTTTTCAGTCAAAACCTAAGAAAAGAACTTTTTCATATACATTTTATGAGAACATCCAAAATCAAGTCTCCTCCAACATGAATTATGGAGTGTCCAGAAGTTGATCACCCATTGTTGGTTGCAGATGCTTTATATTATACTTGCTTGTTTATTTAATATGCAAAACATCTAGTGTTCATAGTTGTCTCATATGATGATGATGCTATTAAGTCTTCAGTTATTATTTTCCACATCATTTTAAGAAGATTTTTATAGTCATTAGTAAATTAATTATACATTAATTTGTAAAGTATTACATTAGTATAGCAAACATAAGCAAACAATAATTAATAGCAAACTTAAGATGCTTATTAATTAAGTTTTGAAGTAATTTTTCTAGAAAGATATTTAATATTCATCAAAATAGGTATCAGACCAAGAGTATTGAAAGTAACTATATATATATATACATATATAAAATACTTAGCTTAAAATCATCCTTTTCCATTATGAAAAAGAGGCATCCATTAGAAGTGGTGGCACCAAGAAGTGAAGAATTGTCACAAAATTTTTGAATAAGTGTGTGAATTAAGGGTACAACTATGCAGACATGAGAGAATGAGAATATGTGGCGAGAAGAGATGATGATGTTTCACACACTCTGTTTCTCACTCTCGTCTGTGTAACCATAATAAATGAGAGTGAAAAACAGAGAGCATTAAATGTCATCACCTCTTCTCACCACATATTCTTGCTTGCTCATGTCTGGTCTGCATAGTTGCACTCTAAGTGAGGATAGAAAGGTTGGGTCTCCGTTCCATGGGGGTTGAGCAAAGTGAGTGAGGTTGGGCAGAAGAGGATTAGCTCTCATGGTGGTTGAATCATCACAATTTTTGTTACAAATAGTGTATATTGGAGTACAAGTTGGCCAAACCCAAGAGGTGAGCAAGTGAAGTAAATCATGTAACCACAGAATTGGAACATTTTTCTATGATATGTTTAAAAACTTATGACATTTGAATGATATAAAAAATGAATGTTGATTTTGTTCTGGAATCTGAAGGCTGTTTTATGTTCAGTTTAGATGGAGAAAATCTAAACATTTTTTATGTGATTTGGATAAAAACTGTTTTTCCAATTAATTTGACTATGGAGGTGCATTTTAAAATGAATCTAAACTTGTTTATATTATGGAATCTTTACATAAAATTAGACAGTTGAAGCTGTGCATATTAATGAAATTTTTGTTCTGGATAATCTATATTGCAAACAAGTGGCCGAAGCTCGTAGGATGAGTGAGCAAAGTCAGCAGGGAATTAGGCTACCTATGGCAGGCTAGGAGCAGGGTCCTCTAATATTATATAAATTTCATTTATACATTGAGAAATTATGTATTAATACCATAATAATAAAATTATTATATAAAATTAGATTACAAATTTTATTTAACATAGAAGANATTTCATTTATACATTGAGAAATTATGTATTAATACCATAATAATAAAATTATTATATAAAATTAGATTAATTTTAAGCTGGCAGATTAATAATTTAGTTTGTAGTTTCTTAAGAAGACCATTTATTTTTAGCTTTACTCAGTTTAATCGTTATATTACTGTGATAGAATAATTTATGTTATAAATATTATTTAAAATAGTTTATAAAAATAAAATTTAATAGAAGCTATTAGTATTTATTAAATCACTTATGAAATAAACTTTTTATAGTTTAATATTGAATTTTATGAAAGTTTTCAAATGTTTGTAGAAATTTAAAACTTTTTCTCCTAAAATATTAATAAGTATTTAATAATAAATTTTCAGCATTGGATCGTGAAAGAAAAAGAGCTCTTGGGAAAGCTTCTATTGGAGGTTCATTTAATTTAATAGATCAGAATGGAAATCCACGTTCAAGTCGTGATTTTTTAGGACAATGGCTACTGATTTATTTTGGTTTCACACATTGTCCAGATGTCTGTCCTGATGAAATAGAAAAAATGGTGAAAACTGTTGAAATATTAGGTATGTTTATATCATTCTAAATAACTAAATTTTAGAACTTAGTAAGCTTAATCACATATTCTGTAATTACGATGTATAGATGACAAAAACAAACATTTTCAAACTCTTTCTGAGTCCTTCATTAGGTTTTTTAATGATTCCTCGATGGTTCTTTGTTTTGGAGAGTTCGAATATAAGTTTGAAAAATTATTAAAACCATGTTGCTCCTGCACAGAGAGTTGCCCAACCAGGACTCAATGAATGGTTAAACCATGTTGTCAATCAACTCTTGCCAGGCCATTGAAAAAATCTTTTCCTCTTTATAATTTATGCATGTAGATGTAAAACTGGATTTAAAAATGTGCACAGCGTCCAACTATCTGAGGTGTTCCATGGGGGACATAGCAAGGATGAGTTTGGCCCAGTTAAAGTCAGAACATGATGTCTGGGTCTGTTGCATACGTATTAAGCTTATTTCTTCAATGGAAATTTACATTAAGAATTTTGTTCATATTTTATATTTGTAATTAAATATTAAATTAAATTTATATTTTTTAACCATAACTTTAATTTGAAAATTTAAATCTACACTTTATGCCTTATTAAAATTACTGTGTATTTTAGATAATAAAAATGTTAAGTATAAAGCAATTTTTCATAGAACATAAACACGTTTTATTAATGTAAATCTAAAGTCTATCAATTTATTTTTTAAATTGCCAGAAATAAATATTAAATTAATACAAATTACTTTTTTAAACATAGATATGAATAAATAGGAATATTTAGCATTTAAAATTGTTGCAGAGTTCATTTATTTGACAACCTAAAAATAACTTTTTCTTTCATGAACACAATGTAGTGCATTTAAGAAATATTTTACAGAAGTTTTATTTTTTCATAGAAATATGCATTACATTAGTTAACTGTTGCGAACAACTAGCAGTTTAATGCAAGGAACACAGAACTGAATGAATTGGAAAGTGGCATTGGCTAATATAGTTTGTTACCAAGAAATATAAATACTATAAAGTCAGGCCATCAGGATATTGATGACCTCAGCATAAATTGATTTAAATCAAGACACCCTCCTCTTATAAGAGCTAAATCCCTGCATTCCAAAAATTTCAAACTCACTGAATCTTGGAAAAGGCTCTGGGCTGATGTCTCTCCGGTGGACAGTCGACAACTTCCTTGTATCACAAAGCGACCACCTGGATTTGAGTTATCCAGAAATCTTTGGAGTGTGTTAAATAGAATTCGAACCAAACATGGATTGTGCAGGGACAGTCTTTTTAGGTGGGGAAAAGTTGCATCCCCACAGTGTGACTGTGGTGCTGAAAGACAGACTATACATCATATCTTGGAAGATTGTCCAGTAAGATCTTTTCCGGGACAACTGAGTGACTTCCTGATTGTGACTGAAAGTGCTTTAAACTATATTTCTAACTTAGATGTACATTTATGATTTGTGTTCTTACTTTTTCTGCTTTGTGTTCTTGTTATCAATTAGATGTGTAGCCATACGCTAAATAAATAAACTATAAAGTCAAATGTTTGTTGAATGCACTATGTTGTATGTATGTAAGAAAATAATTGTATAGAAACTTGATTTCAGAAGTAGAATAACCAAAAATATTTATTAAAATTATATTTATTAATGATGACAGTGTTGGGTGAATATGTTTGTTTGTTACACTTAAATATGTTGGAAACTCAAGTAAAGTACATTTATTTCACTTAATTATGTTGGTTATACATGAAAATAAGACACAGAGAAATGAATTGAATAGAATGATGTAGAGTGATTTGTGACACAAAAAACACTGACCTCCAATTCTAATCTCTCTTTCCAGCAGGTGATCAAATTTACAATTAAGTATCAAAGGTTACAGTAGGGATGGTGAAATTTCAAGTCAGTTAAGTAATATGACAATCACATATATAGTTTCAACTGCAATAGAACAAATAATAAATTGTCTGCGTAAAACTTTGACATCTTAACACACAAAATTCTAATTTCTTAAAGGATAGTTTTTAGAATAAAGACATTAATTTATATTATTGAAAAATAATTTATACAAAAATCAAACTAAAAGATTTTTAAGAAAAAATTTTTTCTGCTTTATCTGAATTTTAGCATTTTGTGGTTTATTATTATTCTATTTTGGATTAAAATTGCTATTATTAGATGTATTCTAATTAAATTGTATTTTAAATTTATTCAGTTGGTTTTAGTTGATCATAAATAAATATGTGAAGTGATAGGATTTATTTATTTTATTTTTGATTTAGAATTTCTTATATTAAAAATACATTAATTTATTTTTGGATTTCCCATTTTTCTTACAAAACAAAATCAACAAGAATTAGATTGATTAATAAAACAATTATTCAAATAATAAGTAAAATTTTTATTACNGACAGAATCACTTTGATGCTCAAGGCAGGTCTCGTTCTCATTCTCCTATCTTCTTTGTTATCGCTGGTTTTGGGCGCAATCATTCAAACTTCGCCGGCCACGACTACGGATTGAATATTGACAAAAGAATTATATAAACTTAATATAAATGTAGAACTACTTTAAAAAATTATTTGATATAGTTCCCCCATTGATTAATATTCCTTCAGAGTTGATAAGTTGTATTTCTTTTTCACCTTCTCTAAATCTCTAGTCACAAAGTAAATGGTAAATGGTGACTGATTCATTACATCATCTGCATTTTTCATTTGCAATTTTCAAGAAATTTGATTCCATCAACACAAAAACTATTCAGCCTCAATTGCATGTAGAAACATTTTATACTAAATGACAAACAAGAAAATATATATCCATTTGAAGGTGGAAAAGTCAAATTATTTATGTACCAGCTATGGAATTTTGCTTTTTGCATTCATCACTTTTCATAGTCTATAATATTGTTGTATATATTAGACATGAGAATGAATGTCCCAAATTTCCAATCTTGATCAGTAGAATTAAATAAAATATGGAATACTCCATACTTAGATAACACATAACCAAATTTAGCATACCAATTATTTGCATAAAAGTTTATCTGTGTAAATAATTGTTTAAACTCTTCTATTAATTACCATTACTGTAGTAATTTATTTTCTTTTTTCCTCGTTCTTTTATAGAATTTCAAGATTCTCTTTATTAAAAAAGGTACAAGTTGTATTTGATTCATATTATGGTGTAAAGCATTGCCGGGAACAGATTTATCCAAACAAAATATTTTTCCTATAAATTTTATCTGTATAATTTCAAGATGAATAATGCAGTTAAAGTCCCAAATCAGGAATGCATAGCAAACTGAGCTCGTAATAACTGAGGAAAATAATTTGAAATGGTTCTGAATTAAATTAATTTTCATTTTATTCATTAAAAACATTAGGTTGTATATTAATTTCTCAACTTTATTTTTTATGAAGCAAAAATAATCCTTAAATGATAAGTTGGGTGTGAAAATAACACTCAAATTTTATCAATCAATTTTAACTTAGTATTATCTAAATAGAAATTAAAATTCTTCCTTGAAATCCTATCTCCTTTTTTGAAAAATCATATAAGCTTTATTCAGATTAACTTTCATTTCCAATTGGCTGGTAATAATAATAATAAGCTTGGTTGATTTTCCTTTGAAGACTAATTTTTTAAGATATTAAGAATAATAATAATTTAATATTTTAATAAACTAAAACTAAACAATAAATAAAATAAATTTTATGACTAGTGATATTTAACTAATCAAAAATATGAAATTGAGAACATATTCACTAACATTAAATAATAGCATAAAATTAATAATCATTGAAGTTCTTTTTTGATTAATTGAAAGTTGATAAAAAGTATAACTAACAAATTAAGTTATATTTTAATCATTTAATAAATATGAAATTAATTTAATATTTTTCAGATGCAAATAAAGATGTACCTAACGTACAGCCAGTTTTCATTACTGTTGATCCAGAAAGAGATGATAGACATATTGTAGGAGCTTACCTTAAAGGTGATACAAATTAATATAATTTTATAGAATAATTTTGTAATTTAATAATAGAAAATAAATTGCTCTATCATATTTACATAGTGTTGATAAATAACAATATTTTTGTCTTTTTTTTTTCTTTTCTTTATTAAATTTATTCAATACGAGCAGTTTATTTATTGTGACTTCGTCACAATGCCAGGCTGCAATTTTTAATCATATTTTTAATTTATTTAATTTAAAATATATGCTCTCCACCTCAAATTAGTAGTGGTTTGACCCTGTAGATCATACTTTTTTCCCTTTAACAATAGAGTCATGCCAGTCATCTATCTAACATCTTTCAGGGGAAAATTTTTGAATTGAAATAACATGACTTTTGGTTTGAATCGGAAGTTTGCATATAGTTAATCACAGCTTCCTATCTCTAAGGTTTCCATGTCTGGTCTTGTCTTTCATTTATCTAACTCTGTTCTCAAGATTAAGAAAAGACAGACAGATGATAATGGACTTTATAGGTCTACAATTTTTTCAAATTGCAGACCAATAAGGCACTTTAAAGAAATTACTAAATGAGGAAATGATTTATGTGAGTTAGCAATTTCTAAATGAAAAATATAAATTTCAAAATTCCAGAGCCAACTGCAATAAATCTTGGTTTCTCATTTTACATTTGTCTTGCATTTACATTTATTGGTGATTTATCATTAATAAATTAAATAAGTCTTATAATATTCAAAAGTCTACCTAATATTTAAATAGATCATTGTGTTAAAGTAAATTCTAGTTCTTTAGAATTTCTTTATAGATAAAGTCTTTGTTGAACTAATTCTCATTTTGTATTGCATTTAATAATTAATTGGTAGGATTAATTCTTTCTAAGTTTATACTTTGTACTTTATCAACCTCCATCTTCAAAGCAGAACAAAAAGTCATAAAAGTTTTTGATAATTTGTTTCTCATATTCAAACAACATGTGTTTTATGTCACTATTTATGCATTACAAAATAGCTAATATTTTAAATAATTTATCTTTATATATTTAATTTTACATAAAAAGTTTCTTATCTAATTCATAAATAAACAAGTAAAATGGCAAAACCATATTTGGGACAAGAGTATGTCTTGGAGACAGAATCACTTTGATGCTCAAGGCAGGTCTCGTTCTCATTCTCCTATCTTCTTTGATATCGCTGGTTTTGGGCGCAATCATTCAAACTTCGCCGGCCACGACTACGGATTGTCCACGATGCATCTTCAATGAAATTAACCTAATTTCAAAATTTCTCTCCGTTGCGTGTCGGCCCAGGTTGAATTTTTGTCGATGCGTAACGAAAAGTTCCCGTTTTTGAAAAAAATAATCATGGCTATTGTATCGTTCGAAATTATTTTTTTTATTTTGCACAAACAATATACAGTTTAACCTGATTATAATGTCATCGAATGTAATGACAACCCTAATATAACGTCAAATTTTTATCGGTCCTACGATTTTACCATACTAAATAATGTTAAAAAAAACTCACTTGTAATGACATAAAACAGTTTTAACGTCATATTTGAAGACCTCCCAAATTTATAAAATTAGATTACAAATTTTATTTAACATAGAAGAAACTACGTGTTCAATCCTAAGGCCAGAGTTCACTTCTTAGAATGACTGTGGGTGGTACTCTCCCCTACCTGACTTTGGTGGGTGAGGTGGCTGTTTTGCCTGTTTGTAGAAGAGGGTTGCCATTTTGTATTTTATTTTAACTCGATTCTTGGTCCACTGACTACCTACGAGTCTGGATTTTTTTATGTGCAAACGATTTGGGCACCTAATACTCTGTGCCAAATATCAACTTTCGACATGTACTCCTTTATACCTCTATGCTGGTAAGAAAATCGGGCAGTACGATTTTATAAATAAGACAGTCTTGTTAATAAATATCTGAAATTTTAAGTCATTGTCATTATAATTTATAGCATAAGTGTTTAAAATGCAGTTCCTAAAAATTATTTGTTTTTTTGAAATAGTGGTATTAAATTTCATTGATAAAGCAATTTGATTAATGATCTTGATTGTCAACCTTCTGCTCTTCTCTTAATATTGTTTCCTCTTAATATTGTTTCTCATTAATTAAATTATTAAGGTTTTTAGAAATTTAATGAAATTAATTAAATCAAATTCTGATTATATTGATTAAAAACTTGTTTATGTTGATAACATAAAATTAGACAGGATAATCAATATATATACATATTCATTATCCTTTCTAATATATATACAGTGAAAACTGCTTAGGCAACCACTTGCATTCGACAGGCACCTGTCAAAATGGACAAAAATTTCTGGCTTAAGTTCTAAGTTTATCCATAGAGTCTTCATATAAGTTACCTGTATTAAACGACCACCTGTGTAACGCGACTGCGGGCATCAATTTTTGGTCCGCAACAACATACAACAACTGTAATAAGCAACCACTTCTGCAAATATATCTGGTCTAAACTATTGTTCAACAACATTTTCCCCCTCCTAATATAATGAATTTATCTAAACTGTCATTGGAATTCACCTCAGGCACTTCTCCCACCCTTGAAATTAGGTGCAGTTGTTATTGAATTAGTCTAGCAACAAAGGAAATTCATTTCAGTTTGTTCCAAATTGTCCAAAAAAAAACAAAAGAAATGCAAAGTGCTGTCGTTAGACAATTGTGTTAAAGTTATCACAACAGCAATTAGCAACAAAGTTTAACTGTGGGAAAACAAAATTTATTTTACAGTAGACCTACATTATTTTCCTTGGGGGGGGCACAAAATATTGTACACAATACAATTAATCAGCTGATCTCATTGTTTGATAAAATTTATTTTTATTTGTTTATTTATTTTGAAGCTCATATACAGTACATGTGTGATAAATAGTTTCTGTATCAACCTACCATATTTCCACGATATTTTTAGAAAAATAATATCCAAGTAATTTTCGCAGGCAAAATATTCAAAAAACAATAAACGCATTAATGCAAAAATAATCTAATTTCTGTTAAAATCTGGAAACACTTATAACTTAAATTTTGAGTGCTGCAATATTCTTTAATTTTATGAAAACATTGTCTTTTTATTAAGAATTAAAGCTAGATTATTTAATAACTTTTAATATAATATTGACTGTGTCATGATAGGAAAAAACTTAACATTATATACTAAAATAATTTGAATTGTTCATCTTTAAATTAATAAATTCAAACTTTGGAGACCAGAAGGCTGAGAAGATTAAGGTATCAGCCTATTGTTTTGGAGGCCCAGAATTAAATATGGACAAGTAACACTAGGAATTTTTTCATGGGTAATCTGTTCCCAGATATGTCAGGCCTCATCTCTTGAAACCTGATTGAACCCATGATGGGTTTAAGTAAAAAGGCCCATTTAGTGTCCACAGAGTGGAAAGAGACAAAATTGAAAAAGTAAGCATTTAGGCATTTATAAATTTAGAAGTTTTATTTAAAATATTTTGAATCTTTAGGTTTTCATTTTTCTTGCTCTTTGGAACATTTTGATAATTTCTCTTCAGTTATACTATAGTTTTGCAGAATGACTGGCATGCTGGTCTATCTGGGGAGACCAGGAAATCAGATATTTCCATATGGTAAAAGCCAGTATGCTGGCTTATCCCAGGAAATGCTGGCTTGCTGGTTTAAGTGAGGTTATACATTCCTCTCTAGAGGGCACATTAAAAAATATGAATGAGTTATATCATGTAAAAACGAAGGAGTTTTATTCTAAAACTGTGAAACTGTCAGCATTACATCAAAAACTATGATTATATGTTTAATTTCTTCATTTTGTCTTCTTTCTAACAAGATAAAATACTCGTGAAAATCTGAAAGTGCTTTTTTAATGTGTATTTTATTGTTATTTAATTCAAAAATCCAAAAATAAACATATTAAATTTAAAAATTTTCTGTAAATTATCTCAGCTTACACTGATTAACATCAGCTTTGTGTGAAATTTGAGAGGAAGGGTGTTATTTTTAAGGTCAGGGTGGATGGTCAATGTTACCCACACTAACCACTACTACTATTAATGCCAATAAGTCATTAAATTGTTTTATTGTCTTGTAAACAGGTCAAATTACAATGTTGTTTTTTTATTGTATTTAGAAGAATGTCTTTTTTAACATTTAATTAACAACTAGTTTTGTTAGATCTGATTAATTTTATATTTTAGTTGCAGTTTAACCAGCATGCTGGTAACCCTGGGGTTTCCAGCATGCTGGTCATTCTGTGAAAAAATATATATATTAATTTTTTAAATTTAATACTTTCAAACTGTATCATATTCATTTCATAAAACTATAAAATAAAGTGATGCTGTTCAAAGCTGTTAAATTTAAAAAAATATTTTATGTAAAATACTAGCTTACCCGTCGCGCATTGCTGCGATCTCAGAAGAAAGGAAATTCAAGCAAACTCGTTATGATAAAATTCAATTTACATTTTATCATTTTTATTGAAACTTATTATTATTATTGTGTTGGGTTTAGTGGGTAATACTCGGTTTAAACCGGTGGCTGTGTACTATGCCGGACCAGAGTCAAGCATAGCAACCAAAACTAATTAAATAAGTGTGTCAGTGTCAGTGTCAGTGTATTCAGGAATTTCCTAACAAATGTGGCATGTATTCAATATAGTGGCCTTCTGTAGTGTGATGTATGTATTTCTACTCAATTGTAATGTTCCCAGGCTTTTGTGTAGTGTGTGTGGTATCACACCTGTACAGGAGAGAACAACAGGTACAATAAGCACCCTATCCATCCTCCACAGATGCCTGATTTCCTGGGCGAGTTCTGTGTACTTGCTAATTTTTTCTGTGCATGTGTTTTGTACATTGTGAGTGTTTGGAATGGCTATNGTTACTTTTGTTATTTATGTTACAATTATGCATTTTGGGCCAGTAGACCTAGCTGGCCCCTCTTCAGACTATTTAAAAGTAAGACATTATTATTATATAACAAAAATATGAACATTTTTTCAAT